CTCTGGGTTGTCATAATTTAGGTTGTAAAACAAACTCGTCCAGATTTCTAGATAAGAGAGCCGCACCACCCAAAGTGGGATGGATGCCGTCTCTGCTAATCAGACCAGGTTTTCCCCAAAATGTTTTCCAGTTGTCTATGAAGCCCACGTTATTTTCTGGGCACCACCTAGACAGCCAGCGGTTGAATGACGACATGCGGCTAAACATGTCATCACTGGTCACATTGGGTAGGGGTCCAGAGAAAACTACGGAGTCCGACATTGTTTTAGCGAAGTTACACACCGACTCAACATTAATTTTAGTGACCTCCGACTGGCGAAGTCGGGAGTCATTAGCGCCGACGTGAATAACTGGCCTATTCTCCATGGTGTGGAGCCGCGCTTCTAAGTCTGTGAGCCTCGCCTCCAATGCTGCTAGCATCTGACATTTATTACAAGTACCATTATCGCTAAAGGAGGCAGAGGAATAACTGAACATGCGACACTCCGAGCAAGAGAAAGGAGGAGAGGAAGAGGGGGAAGCCATTGCTCTCGATTAAGCTACTAGCTTAGCTAGCTTCTAAACTAGCCGACCTAAAGTAGCACGTTAAATTTGGTAGTTAGCAAGAACTTCTGCAAAACAAGTGCTTTAAGTGGTGCAAGCGTATGTTGTCACTCAAAAATTCAGATGAACCTAGAAAATAGTGAGTTTAATTCCTAAACAATCTGGAAGCAAGCACAACGCAGTACAAATACAGAAAACAGGAAATGAGTATGGCTTACCGCAGGAAACAGCAGTCCGTCAAAGGTTCCGCATCTCACAGGACCCAAACAAGCTTTGTCCTCGGAAGTCCCATTTGACCCAGTGCAGGTGGTGGGAGACAGGAGGACATTAGCTTTGCTAACATCCCCTGCTTAAGGACTCCCACCCCATGTATGAGACATTGACAGCACTGGGCAACTCCATCAGTGACAAACTGCTTCACCCCAACATGACAAAACTCAGGAGATAGAGCAGGTCGTCTCCTAACCGGAAGGTTGGCGGTTCGATTCTCAGCTTCTCCAGCCCAGGTACCGAACTGTCCTTGAGGAGGACACTGAAACACTAGTTGCTCCTAGTGATGTCACCGGTGTGAATGTGCGAGTGCATCAGAGTGTGAATGGTCAAATAGTGTGAAAGTGTTTTGAGTGTGCTGCAATGCATAGAAAAATGCTCTGCAAGTATAAAACCATTTACCATTCCTAAAAAAACTGTCAGACTGTACAATGAGCATTGCTCCCAGTAGACCCCCTCCCCAAGTCAACCTCACACACCCACAGACTGAATAACTGGGAATACACAGCATACCAGTGTGCAATTTCTTATTTTATTATAGATAAATACCTCATCTGTTACTTTTTGGATTTTTAACACTGAATGCCTATTTCTCTTTGCTGCTGTAAAGATGAGTAATAAAGGTTTATTTTATATCATAAGGATGTAACTTGCAGTACGATATTGCCACAATAAGTCCATGATATTTGTCA